CACAGGTGAGCTGGACGCATTTCCAGCTGTGCATCTGTCAGCCATCAGTGAGGCCTAGGAGCCTTGGCATGAGCTGCCACCTGGTCTGTCAGCATCACAATAGGCATCACGGAAACTTCGTAGAATAATGACAATCAATGGGACATGGCAATACCAGGGTACAAAACATAGAGGAATGACAGAGCAGGTTGTGCTGGCGGGGGAGTGTCACTATATGTGAAAGAAAGCAGAGAGTCAAATATAGTCAAAATCTTAAATGAATCAAACTGCACCAGAGAATCTCTATGGATAGAAATTCCATGCTTGGATAATAATAGGATAGCAGTCGGAATATACGACTGACCAGGATGGTGATGGGGACTGTGAAATGCTCATGGAGATCAGAGAGGCTACAAAAATAGAAAACTCAGTAATAATGGGGGATTTCAACTATCCCCATATTGACTGGGTACATGTCACCTCAGGACAGGATGCAGAGATAACATTTCTAGACACTTAACGACTGCTTTTTGGAGTAGCTAGTCCTGGAACCCACAAGGGGAGAGGCAATTCTTGATTTAGTCCCAAGTGGAGAACAGGACCTGGTCCAGAAAGTGAATATACCTGAGTCAGTCAGTAATAGCCAACGCAATGTAATTAAATTTAACATCCTTGTAGGGGGGGAAATACCAAAGAAACCCACCACAGTAGCATTTAACTTCAGAAAAGGGGGAACTATGCAAAAATGAGGACACTAGTTAAATGAAAAATGAAAAGAGCAGTCACAAAGAGTGAAATGCCTGCAAGCTGCATGAACACTAATTAAAAACACCTTAACGGAAGGTCAAACTCTATGTATACCCCAAATCAAAAAAACAGTAAGAGGACCAAAATATGCCATCATGGCTAAAAAGCAGAGTAAAAGAGGTGGCTAGAGGAAAAAAGACCTCTTTTAATAATTGGAAACAAAATCCTACTGAGGAAAATAGAGAGGAGCATAAACTCCGGCAAGTCAAGTGTAAAATTAATAATTAGGCAGGCCAAAAAAGAATCTGAAGAGCAACTAGCAAAAGACCCAAAAACTATCAGCAAATTTTTTTTAAGCACATCAGAAGCAGGAAGGCTGCCAAACAATGAGTGGGGCCACTGGACGACTGAGGTACTAAGGGAGCAGTCAAGGAAGACAAGGCCGTTAAAGAGTAGTTAAATGAATTCTTTGCATCGGTCTTCACTGTAGAGAATGTGAGGGAGATTCCCACACCTGAGCCATTCTTTTTAAGTGACAAATCTGAGGGGTCAATAGAGGTTAACACAATATGTTGGGGAAAAGCCAACATGGCTTTTGTAAAAGGAAATCTATAGAAATTAACAACTTTAAATTAGTCTGGGATTTTACTGTGGGATGGGACTCTGATCAGGGGTGGACTTATGGGACTGATTTTCTGATCCCCCTTAACATGGGGATAAAACATGCCCTATAATTGGAAAATGCAGCCTTGTAATTTGCTGGAATGATGCCACTGGTGTATGTAGGGTAACTTTGGCGGAGACATTGCCCCTTCAGCTCACTGTTGAAGGGGTTATTCCAGCCCAGGTTACAGGCATAGCAAACAATGACAGACGAGAGAGCACTATGGAGCCATTTGATGGGGCATTGGGGAAGCGTGACTTGTTGGTGCCATGCATTCTTGGAACTGCACAATGGAAGCTGGACTGGTCTGGGCAGTGAATTTAGCACCGCAACCTCGAATCTGAAAGCGTGGACTCAATTATGGGACCTTTCTCCTGGTTCTGGAGAAGAGGGGATAGTAAAAGGGAGGAACCACGTGATGGCCAAGCTATCACCAGAGGCCCAAGCCAGGGGCCCACACACTCCCAATCCGATTGTGGCACCCCTGCTTATTGCTAGTGACACTTCCTTTCCAAACGGAGCAGTTAAAGTCCCGGGACACCAGCCTGGCATGAAGATTGTGTTTACGGAGTTTTATTTGGTTTGATACGTACACAAGAGGATGGGTCTTTTTCAAAAGGGAGAGCAGTGTGACAGGCTTGCTATGCTGGCTGGATCTGGGGGTGCAGAACCCCCACAGCCGGCTCCACCAGGGCACGGACCCCTGACCAGCTGCAGGGCTCAGGATCCCATTGAGATTACCCTGAAGGTTACTCAAGTGAATGACTCCTGTCAGTTTGATCGGGTCTGTGGTAACACCTCTGCGGAGGGAAGAGAACTGGAACAATTTGTGCTTAGGTGGAGTTTTCTCTCCCAGTGCTCAAAGGTGAGTAGCCGGCTTATCTGGCTCTAACCACTAGCCCTTGCTGCCTCACATATTCCCCATTGTGCCAAGTCAGCTCTTCCAAAGGGTTCAAAGCAACATCCAAAGAGCAGCTTAGAGAGAGACTGGCGTAGCATTAAGGAGACCTGGGTTCTAGTCCTGGGTCTGCTAGCTGATGGGGGGTGAATTATGGCATCTCTGTTTCCTGTCTTCCCTTTCCCCCCAGTTAGCCTGTAAACTCTTTGGAGCAGGGACTGTCTCTAACTATGGCCTTGAATTATGAGGCCCTGAACTCGGCTGGACCCTCAAGGCAACATAACACCCATATCAATAACAGTTTGTCCCACCCCAGCTACAGAGCAGATGAATATAGCTCAGAGAGGTTGAGGCATTTTGGCAGAGGTGATGCAACAGGTCAATGGATGCCTCAGGAAGTGAGCCCAAGGCCCAGCTCTGCAAATGGACTGAGGTTTCTAAATCCCATTGTCAGGCACCCTATCTCACGCCTAAGTCCCAGGGGGAGCTAAGCCGGGACACGCCTGGCCTGAGCCACCAGCTATGCGCTGAGAGCAGCTAGCCTCACACAGGATAGCCAGGCTGGGGGCTGCGTTTTCCCAGGTAATGTTCAGCCCTGTGGTTAACGTCCCCCCCTCCAGCAGATGCAAAGCCCCCAGTTGAGTTCTCCTCTCTGCCTGCTACAGCAAAGCGATTTGTAGAGCAAAGTTTCCCACCCCTCCACTGGGTGCCCACCCCACTGGGCTGCGGGATCACTCCTGAATACCAAGTGGAACAACTTCACCGGGAGAGATCCCAGGAGCCCTGCCTCCAACTAGCCCAGAGGTCAGGGGTTTGGCCCTGCTCTGGAGAGAGAGGAGATGCCTTGTTAAGGCCTCTCTCCTCAGCAGGCCAAGGGGGGAATCAAACCACAGCTTCCCAGGTCTGGGGTGAGCACCCACACAGGGGGGCAGCTGCTTCCACCTGCCAGCTGTTTTGCATGGCGCTAAGCACTTCCCCTCCAGGAGAGGGGTCCTGGCTGTAGATCCGGAGCCCAGCTCGACACCTCCCTCCGACCCAGAGTGAGCCCCTGTCTCCATGAGAGGGGCAGGGCTGAGGACACAGCCTTCTCCTCGGAATCTCCCCTGGGCTCGCGCTGGCTTTTGTGGATCCAGAGTTGGCAGTTTGGGTTGGTCATATTCCTGGAGGTTTCATCCCAGGGTCTAATCGTCCAGGACAGATTAATCTTTAATTCCTGCAAACTCTAGGGCAACCCCGGAGGGTTGACAACCCTATGTGAATCCCATCTCTCCCCAGTCATTCCATAGGGCGTCTAGACCAGCGTTTCTCAAATGCAGCCACCCCTGGCCGCATGTGGCCACCCGTAGCTTTCTTGCGGGAAAGCAGCAGCCCCTCTCCCGGGGCCGCCAGCTGGGGGTGGGCCCTGCCTCCCTCTGGAGACACAAAAGCTGGAGGAGCGGACAGCCGGTGTGAGTTCCCCACCTTCCCGGACCTGGTGGGGCCGGGCTTCAACCACGGGGTTTCGGGCTCCTTTTCCGGGCCCCGTCCCCTGGGCATGGGGCTTTGGGCTCCATTCCCTGGCCATGCTCTGGCCCAAAGCTCCCCACGTCCCTCATTACCCCTGGCTCCTGCTGCTTCCCCCAGTCTCCAATCGCCCCTGGCCCCCTCTGCCTTCCTACCCACCTCCCCATCCAGGACTTAATTTGTCCCCAGGTTTGCCGGGGCTGAGTAAGTCTGCTGTGAAAAGCGACACCTGCGTGTTTGCTAATATCACTTTTCACAGCAGACTTAGTAGCTAGCAAGTCTTAAAAAAAAACAAAAACAAAAACAAAAAAAAACAGCCAAAAAAAACAAAAGAAACAAAAAGAAAAAAGACAAGAATGTGCAAAGTGCCTGATTTGTGTGTCTAGTCTGCTTAGGTCAAGTAAAGAATAGAGACAACTGTACATTATTTTTATTATTGAGTCTGCAAAAAAATAAATCCTATATAAATAAATGACAATGATTTGGACATGTATACGTGCAGATTTGCTTGTTTCTCCTGAAGTATATTCAGTATTTTAGGACAGTATTCAGAGCGGCCCCCAGCAACAGATGGTGGCCGCACTCTGAGGCCTCCAAAAAATGCGTTGTGAGAACCCCTAGCCTCGACGTCTAACACAGGGTGTGCGGATAGCAGGGACTTTCAAGGCACCTACAAGTTAGATGTTGCAATGCCTAAGTCCCTCTGAGGATCTGGGCCCACCTATCTTGAATCCCATCCTTCCCAAGACCACCCCGCCTTGAAACACATCTGATGGACCTGGCCTACATGAGCTTGTACCCCCTTGTCACCTAGACCGAGACATCAGGCCACAGACTCCTTGGAGCTGCTGCCCCTGGGGGAGAGGTGAAAAAAATAGAAGTTTAGATGCAGCCACGGGGGCTACAAATGTGGGGAATGAACGTGAACGGTGCCAAGCACCGGCAACTCTCATGGACTGTGATGCCCAGCACGGCTCCAGAGCAAGGCCCTCTGGTCTCCTTTGGGGCTGCCCAGCTCATGGCGGACACAAGCTGGAATAGAGGCCCCAGCTGATTAGACAGCTGATCTTGGCATTCTCTGGCTCCTTTCTCTGGGGCAATTTGCAGAGCAAAGAAAGAAGTCTGCTCCAAAGAATGCCCAGCAGGTGGGACTGATGTTCTCATCCTCAGCCAGGGCTTCGGCAGACATCTGATCTTTGTGAACAAATCCTTGATTGTCTTCTTAACATGGGACTCAGCTGCCCTCCAGCAAACACACAGAGCTCTTTGGCTGTTATGAAAACTGCTACTTTACAGGTAACGAGCACCGGTGACCATTAAGCCTCATTAACCCGGTTGCGTGGAGGGGTTAGCAGCTGTGGTTAAAGGACTTGGCTATTAAAGCTGACTCCAGAGGCCTGGCTGCTGTGGTGAGCATTTGCTTGAAGCAGCTGGGATGGGCTTTTTCCTAGCAAGGTAGGAGCAGTTCATGGCTCTCTGTTGTGAGGGGGGCTGGTGGGTGTCTCAGGCCTAGTGTTTGGGTATCAATGTGATTAGCTTTGTAACTGCTGTTTGCTTCTAGAGGGGGATGCATTGCTTCCAAAAAACACTAGGCTGTGATCTGTGTCTCCTTGTTCCTGGGCTGGGTGCACAGATGGTGCTTTGGGGGTGATTGGCTGCTATAAAAGCTGCAATAGTGGAACCTTAGCCAGTAAACCACAGATATAATACCAGATGGCAGAGGAAACCACTTGCCCCGATGGAGTGGGGGGAGAGGAGACCCCCCAAGAGGGGATGTGGGAGGATAAGTGATGCCCAAATAGAAATTGGAAGCAAGTGCAAGGCCTTGTATGGACTAAAGTCTGTAAAAGCCCCATGTCAGGGGCTGGAGAGTCCAATAGGACCTGAACTGAACAGCAATAACTGACTGTTAAGTCTCCCATGACCAGCTGTTGGTGAGCTGGGAGTCTGCTCTGGCAGCCTGTGATCCTGGCAGCCCAAGGTTGTGGTAGTGTGTAACTGACCAGTCTGGTCGCCCTGTCCCAGGGGCCTGAAGTCACCAGACAGGGCGAGCTGCAGGGCCGTGGGCTAGCTTCCTCCACCTCTCTGGAAGAACACTGAGCAAACAAGGGGGAAGAAATACAACCTAATAGGTCTAATCTTATCCTATGGTTCATGCCTGGAAGCCTGCTTGTGGGGCTAGTGGTGTTGGCTGGCCAGGGTCCAGCTCGGTGGTCATTGCTGTGACTCTCTGGATGAGTCACCCAGTAGCCAGTCTCTGGTTCTGGATCATTGGCTAATACAAAGGGAGTGGCCTGAATGCACCCATGGGTGGCTATAGGGTGGAGGGGAGCAGAGCTCATAGCTAGGGTGGAAACCAGCACCTGCTGAGCAGAGACATGGGGAGCTCGGCTCAGAGCCCCTTGCAAGGCAAAGCAGTCAAGCTGGGGGCAGGGTTTGGAGAAGTGCCTGCCCCACTGGGCCTTAGGTGGGATGTTTAGAGGGTAAAAGCTCCTGTAGAGCAGGAGGCTTTGTGGCTTTTCTCTCCCCCTCTCTCATGCAGGGGCAGCAGGTTTGTAGAAATGTTGGCAGTGCCCAGAAAGCCCAGAGTTCCCCCTGAACTGCCTAAGGCTCTGGGAGGGACTTTGGGTGGGGAGAGCAGGTCTGGGGTGCAGGCCCTGGGCAGGGGATTGGGGTGCAGGCTCTGGGGTGGTGTTTCTGTGCTGGGTGCAGGTATGAGGGTGGGGGTGTAGGAGGGGGTGAGGGGTGCAGGCTCTGGGCTAGGACAAGGGGTGGGGGTGTAGAGGGAGTTTGGGGGGTGGGGGAGGGTGTGGGGGTGCAGTGGTTACCTGAGCCTCCTAGGCAGGGCAGGCTGGGGGGTCTCAACAAGCTGTTGCCCCCAGGCACTGCCCCTGCAGCTTCCTATTGGCCACAGGCGCGCTTGGGGTGGGAGCAGCATGTGTAGACAGGCTTTCTCCTTGCCCGCCCGCCCCAGCCAGCAGACACATGGCATGAGCAGGCAGGAAGTTGCTCGGCTCTCGGCTGCGCTGCCGGTGGTGAGTGGGGGCTTCCAGGCTGTTTGAAATCGCCCGTGGGATGCATGGTGGGGAGCGCCCGGGGTGGAAGGTGGGACTGAGGGAGAGGCCCAGAGTCAGGCCCCGGGCCAGGAATATTCCTGGTGCCCAGGCACCCTGGGCCCATAGAACTCTCCACCCATGTGCCCAGATGGGATGTTTGCGGGGGGTAAAAGCTGCCAGTGAAGCAGGAGGCTTTGTGGCCGCTCTCTCATGGGTCTCTGCAGAGCACCTGTCTCCATAGCAGGCAGCACAGATGCTCTTGCCTGGGGATCCCCTCTGGGCGCTCGGAGCCATGCACCTGAGTGGCGCCCATTCTCATCTGGACAGCTGCACTAACAGGTCTTCTCTTCCACCCCCCTTACTCTGGTCCTAGGGAGATGGCAGCCCGGTGGGCCGTGCTGGGGCTGTTGGCTGCCTGCCTGGCCAGTGCTGCGAAGGAATCGGTGCTGAACGTGTGCATGGATGCCAAGCACCACAAAACCCAGCCAGGCCCAGAGGGGGCGCTGCATGGCCAGGTAGGGTCTTGTCCTATTGACATAGGTCAGTCCCACCCCTGACCACTTGGAGCTCTAGGTGAGGGGTAACTGGGTCCCCTGGACCTGCCGTCCTTTCTAGTGCATGCTTGTTCCTTACACTGGGCTCTTGGGGGATGGGGGGGTGGGCGTGGGGAGGACTGTGGTGCAGGAAGCTGGAGGTGTTTGTGACACACCAAGAACTGTGTTTTCTCTCAGCCCTAGGAGGCTGCGGCAGGCAGGGTCATGGTGCCAACATCCTTGGGCTGGCAATGAGACCCAGCTCTCTGGCAGCAGCCATGCAAACTGGGCTACTTCATCCCTTTAAAGAGGCCTGTCCCTTGCTGTTGCCCAAGGGAAGGGCTCAGACAGAGGCAGAGGGCTGGGGAGGCAGGACTCCTGCCTTGCAATCCCAGCTCTGCCACTGATTCTGTGGGCAAACTTGGATATGTCCCTGTTAATTTCACTAGAATAAACTGACCCAAGTGTTGAAGGTGTTAACCTGACCCTGTCACTGTATAGCTCACTGCTTGATATATGGGTTGGGGTACTGAGTACAAAGACCTCAGCCTGCTTAGGACCATGGTGACAGCCACACTTATGAATAGCTATCTCTCTTTACTAAAGATGGGAGAGGAAAGAGGGCTGACACCTTTCTAGTGTCTGGTAACTGAGGCCCTGCCCCTTCTCTGCGCTCCCTCTTCTTCTCCCCCCCCCCCCTTGCCAAGTCAGAAAACCCCAGACATCAGGGCTTGTCTGGGTGCCATTTGAAACACAAGCCGAAAGCCGGCCCATCTGGGTGAAAACTGGATGGGTGGCAAACCTCACTCAATACTGTGTTTCAAATTAGGCTGTAACTTTGACAAAACTCTTTGTTCCTATTCCCGTTCCCTTTCGCTGCAGAGTTTGTAGAAGGCAGGCCTGCTGATTGGGGGATGGGGGCAATTGTCCAGGGTCCTGGGTGACTTTAAAGGACTCAGGGACCCACAGCAGCACAGTGGAGTGAGGGCAGCCTTCCTGCCTGGCCTTGCTCCATGCCACTCCTGGAAGCGGCCATCCCATCTCTGCAGCCCCTTGGCAGGAGGTCTCTGGGCACTGCCCCTGCCCTGAGCACTGATTCCACAGCTCCCATTCGCTGGGAACTGCACAGAGACCCCCTGGGCCCCCCCCTCACCTAGGAGCTGCTGCCAGAGGGGTGTGCTGGTCGCTTTCAGGAGCCACCCGAGGGAAGAGTTAGCCCTGACCCCTCTCCTGCACTCCCTCAGTGTCCCCTGTCTTTCTCTCCCGCCCCACCTGGCAGCTAGGAGATGGTGCTAACAGTCTTGTGGGGAAAAGAGGCATTAATAGAAATCTGTAGCTGTTAAGTCTGAGCCCACTTCCTAGAAGACACAACCAGACCAACACATACAGGGGCAGAGAAACCGGAGAAGATCAGCTATGCAGCCAATCCTCTCTGCAACTTCCCTGTTGGAGAAACCGCTCCAAAACCTGGCAAATCTGCATCCCCACTGGGTGCTGCCTTTCTGGTCACAGGCTCCCAGGAGTGCTGCAGGATACAGTCTTGGTGGGGAAAAGCCACACTCTTAAACAGAAGGCACAAGGGAGGGAGCGAGAGGAAAGCAGACTGAAGGTGGGGGAGGAATATGACATACTAGGGATTGGAGCCGGTGACAGCAGGACCCAAAGTCTCTCATCACCTTCATGGCTTCAGTTCAGTCCTGACCACTGAAGGTGGCCATGTCAGGTGGGTTTTGCTGCCTTGCCCAGGCTGGTAAGAAGATTTTTGGGAACTGGGACAAGGAAGGTGTCCTAATGGATTGCAGGAGAAGGTTGGGGAGGCAGCCATGTCCCTCCTTTGTTCTCCCATCTCCCAGCCAGCAGTCAGTCTGATCTTCCTCCCAAATTCCTGGGGTGTTTGGTTTTGTTGTTTAACCTTCCCCCCCTCCCAAAAAAGAGGGCGGGGGCAGAACAGCCCATCCCATTTTGCTCACCAGTTACACATGTTCCCAACAAACGAATTTAGTTCAGATTTCTAGTCCCACATTCCTTAACTCTAGGATCACATTGAAGTGGTGCCTTGTAACTAGGAGGCTTTTTCATTTGGACAAATTCAGTTGGTCTCCTCTTTGTGCCTTTTTTCCCCCATCCCCACTTACCCAGCATCCCCCCCAGAGGGGATCACAATTGGGGTAGATCTGGAGGCCCTAATAACACCATATAACATCTCGGCGGCTGCCCCTCCTGCCCCAGTCTGTAGCTTCCCCACTTCATGGCATTTTGTCGACTTAAAGATCTCCAAGCACTCGGCAAAATAGCATCCCTGCCCGTCCGTCCCCGGTCCTTGGCCGTGGCCCTGGCAGTGGTCTGATGCAGGAGCAGTCCCGCCGTGCAGCACTGGAGGCCGGTGATGCTGCTGCATCCACAGCATCCTGTCTGCCCCCCGGGCGAGCGGCCGGAGTCCCCTGCGCACCCGTCCCTTGCTGTGTTCCCAGTGTGCCCCGTGGAAAGACAATGCCTGCTGCACGGCCGAGACCAGCACGGGGGCTCACCAGGCCCAGTCCTACCTGTACAGCTTCAACTGGGCCCACTGCGGGGTGATGCCAGACAAGTGCAAGCGGCACTTCATCCAGGACACGTGTCTGTACGAGTGCTCGCCCAACCTGGGGCCCTGGATCCACCAGGTCAGGGGGCGCTGGGCTGGGCGCTGCGGGCGGGAGAGCAGGCTGGCTTGGTGCATGTGCTCACGGCTCCCTCTAGTGGCGGGGCCAAATGGTGAGGCGTGAACTAGCACCATGCAGAGTGGCTCCTGCAGCTTGGGCGGTCGGGGGCTCGGGCTTTCTGGGCCGAAGGCCCCAGGTCCCGTTCTCCACTGTCAGCTGGTGTCCCCGTGTCCCCCAGGGCCCCCTGCATGTGGGCAGGACAATCCCCTCCAAGCGTCCTGACATCGGGAGGCTGCACCGAACGGCTCCTTTAGCTTCCCTCCCCGGGCGCTGCCCCGTGGGTCCTGCCACCCCCCTGCTGTCCAGGACCCCAGAGAGCCTGGCTCCAATGCTCAGCTTGGCCGGGTTTCTCGGTGGGACTGACGCTGCCTCTGTCCCAGGGTGAGGTGGGTTCGTGCCGCGTGCTTGCTGGGGAGGCAACGGGTAAGATGGCAGATGCTGCTCCTGGCCAAGGCTCTGCAATAAATCCAGGATCTCTTGCCTGGACGCCTGGGTGGCCTGCCTGGGATGCAGCTGAGCTGTAGATGCTGCCACACAGGGGTGCGGGGAGGCTGCTGTGAGGCTCTCCCGTCCCCTGGGCCTGGTTCTGCTGGGACGCGCACTGGCTCTGTTCAGTGGTGCTAGATCAGGGGGTGGGGGAGAGAATGTGTCTCACCCTTGCTCCCTGGGGCGACTGATGTTGCCTGCAGGGGGCCCAGAGCTGCCCCCTGATGCTCCCAAGCCTGTGTCCTGGCAGGCGGATACCAGCTGGCGCCGGGAGAGGATCCTCAACGTCCCGCTGTGTAAGGAGGACTGCGAGCAGTGGTGGGAGGACTGCAAGGACGCCGTCACCTGCAAAGAGAACTGGCACAAGGGCTGGAACTGGACTTCGGGTCAGTGAGAGGCCGAGAACAAACTCTGCCTGCTGCAGGGGGGAGCTGGACTGCTGTACCCTGAGTGGGGCAGGGTCACACCTTGCTTATGGGTTTGGGGCTGTCTTAGAGGCCCAAGGGATGGAGGAGGGGCTCCCACCTCTCCCTGCCCCCTGATGGCAGCAGCCCTCAGACTAGCTCCAGACCCTGGGTGGGGGGCTTGCGAGAGGAGCACCCTGGGAGTGAGGGGCTGAGGCTGTAGTCTCCTCTGGTCTCAGTGCAGTCCCTGGCTTGGTTTGGACTAGGCGGGTGGGTGGTCCCCTGGACTGAACTTGGTGTCCAGTGACCCTGGGGCAGCTTCAACTGTGGAGCTGGTGCCCACGCTGGAGCAGGAGCCGGGAAACCTGCCTCCTGTGTGAGCAGAACTGCCCAGCAGGTGGCCATGGGGCTCTGGGGTCTTCCTCCCCATGGCGACTGGGCGTGTGGTGCCCCTCTACAGAGTTGTGGCCATACCTGGTTCTGCTTGCCAGTATCCCCTGCCTCCAAAGGGGGTTAGGGTCCTGGTCCTGGAGGAAGGAACAGCTGAGGAATCCTAGGGGCAGAGCTGGAGGGTGTAAAATGGGGCTCCCCAGTCAGGGACGTGCAGAAGGAGCTGGCAGGAGACCTGGATGCCCAGATCTGGGCTGTGAATGCCCCTGTACTTTCAGTGGGCAGAGGAGTGAATGGGGCTCAGAGCTGAAGGCTGGAGTAATGGCTGGCAGATAGTGCACAGAGGAAGGATGACCCACTGCTTGGAGCCTGTGACTTGAGACCTGCTTCAATTCCCTGCTATTGACTGTAGGGGGTGGCCACTGTCTCACAACACTCCTAGTTCTCTCAATGTTCAGGAGGCCAAATAAGCAAACCAAGCCAAATATATTGTTGCAACCAATCCTGCACCTTGGCAGGGGGTCAGGGTAGGTAACCCTAGTGGTTCCCTCCTAAAGACCTCTGGTGCAATACAAACCCATTCCAGGGCTGCTCCTGCCAAGGGAGGGGGGTGTGTGTCTCACATGGCTAAGACCAACCCACCAGTTTGTAACTGTTGCTTGGTGTCTCTGTATGCTGTGTTCTGTACCAGTACTGGGACCTAGACTGGATAGACTTTTGCCTTTGACAAGCTCTTAGCTAGTGCCAAGGCTGAAGGCAGTTTCCCAAAGTGTTGATCTTGTATTGGCTAGCACTAGTTTTCCATAGTGTGACCTTAATTCAGTCTCTGCCTCAGTTTCCCACCTGTGGAGAAGAGCATAGCCTTACCTTGGGGGCTCATGAGGATAAATGCACAACAGACCCTGGGGTGATGGAGGGCCTAGAAGGATCAAGGTGCATTGGCAGAGCTGTGGGGGGTGGGAAACCCCAGCTGGGCTAGTGGGTTCCTCATTCTTACTAGCCTCCATCTGGCTCTCCAGCCCATCAGGCTGCCAGTCAGGGATCAGTCCAGAAGGTGAGTGACATGGCTACAAGCCCTTGAACTTCACCTCACAGGGAAGGACAGTTTCTCCCACAAGCCAGCTGGGCCGTTGCCAGATCAGCCAGTAGCCTGGGATGGGCAGATGCCTAGCAGCCAGAGATGGGGAAGGCATCATAGATGGAGTCAAGCCACAGCTTGCTCACTGCTGCCCTCTCCCTCCCCTTCCAGGGACCAACCGGTGCCCCCGCAGCTCCACATGCCAGCCATTCAAGTACGTCTTCCCCCGGCCAGCAGACCTGTGTGAGAAGATCTGGTCCAACTCGTACAAATACACCCTGGAGCACCGGGGCAGCGGGCGCTGCATCCAGATGTGGTTCAACCCTGCCCAGGGGAATCCCAACGTGGCCGTGGCCAAGTACTATGCCCAGAACAGGGGAGATGCCTCTCCTGCACCATGGGCTGTCCTGCTGCTCCTGCCTCCTGCTCTCCTGTCCCTGCTCTGAGCAGCCAGGAGCCTCTGGCAGCCCCACTGGCTTATACAGGAAACATTTTTGCTCAGGGGCACGGGGTGTTTGCCCTGCTTTGGGCTCTGGCCAGCAGAGTCAGGATGCGGTCTGGTTACTGCTAACTGCAGGTGGAAACTGTCTGAAACTGAGACCTTCCCAGCTTATGTATAAGATTTGGGCAAAATAAACTATCCCAGCCTTGCTCTGTGCCTGTTTCCTCCTTCATAGAAACATCCTTCTACTCAGTCCCCAGGGCTGCAAAGCTACAAGGGGGCCCAGCCAGAGGCTCCTTGGGGCTCTCAGGTTGCCTGGCAGGTGGGTACCTTTGTCCTAAACTGAGGTGGGAGCTGGGCTTGGGCAGTCTGCTCTAAGAGTCTGTGGGGTAGAGTATGATCAGTGAGTGTAGGCCTGGCTCCAGCCCCTGCTCATCCCCCTGGGGGGCTTTGAGTGCTTTGACTACAGGGGGGGCTGCAGAGCAGGATCTGGGCAATGCAGACAGCTGCAGCATCCTCTCCTGCCTGGTGCTAGGAACCCCCTGTCCCTGGCTCCCCTCACTCATGCATCCCCATCCCCTGATCTCCTGGCACATGAGGCAGGTACAATGCTACACCCCCAAACTGGGCATTGGCAAGGGACAGGTCCAGTCTCTGAATGCTGGCTGCACTGTGTTCAGGAGTCCCATCCAGTGCCTTAGCATGAGTAATAGACCAGCTCCAACCTTGTCTGGTGAGGGCACAGCTTGTTCTTCATCCGCACGGGGATGAAAGCAAACCATGGGGCATGGGAAGGTCAGAACGGCTGGCTCTCGCCCATGGGGGGGCAGCAGGGTGTGTCTGATCAGAGAGCTTCACCCCCCCCCCCCCAAACCCTTTCCAACCCAAGCAGTGTCAAGACAGATCTTGGCAAAACTTCATGGTGGCAGATGTCCTGCCCAGCCCTGGAGCCCATGTAGGGACCCTCTGGGAAGAGGCAGGGCCTAGTCCCATGCCAGCCACATGACTACAGCTTTCCCTGGTCCTGCAGGATGCTCTCAGGGTTTATCTTCACCTGGAGCAGCACAACCCTCCCCTCCCCCACACACACAGGTGGGGCTTTAGGGAAGCCACTACCCCCCCAGCTGGGAGAGCTTCTCCTGTCAGCGTCACTAGTCCCCCTCCCCCAGAGCCAGTGGCTATGTTGACCTAGCATGGTCTATGCCCGGGGCTATGGTTGGCCTGGCTACAGCACCCAGGGGTGTGGGTGGAGCGGTGTAGCTATTGCATGGGGCAGTAGGGTAGACCCGGTGTCGGTACGCCCCGGTCTCAGCTGGTCTGGGCAATGATTGGGGGCTGGGTACAAAGAACCTGGTTTCCTGCTGCTAGAATTCCCGGGAGGCCTGGCTAGCGCTGGCTGAGGGCCCTGGGGAAGGAAGAGAAGTAACTGAAAGTGGGGGGAGATGGGAGCTGCTGGCAGGGAGGAGCACAGAGCTCTGTAGAGACTCCCTGGGCCAGGGCTGTGGAACGGCCTGCAGGCGCCAGGCCCAGCAATGCTACTGTCTGCGACTGTTTGAGCGCTGGGTGGGGCCCCTTGTGGCCAGTCACCAGGCTCTGACACTGGACCCAATCCTGGGGGCCTGGGTGCTTCCAAGCCCCCTGGCTCTAGGGGTTGCTCTGAGTTCTGGCTGCTCTGGCATGTGCCCGGGCTGCAGGCTCCCCATCTAATGCCCCTTCTTGGGCAGCAGGCCTAGGAGGTCCCACTCCCTAAACCCTACTCTGTCCTTAGTGCTCCTTCTTCCAAATCTGCCCATGTGCCAGTTACAACAAGCAGCCCGTGGGCTCTGCAAGGGGCCTTTGCTCTCAGGCCTTGTCCACACAGTTGTTCAGGAGCAGCCCTGCCCAATAGCTCCCTGGGTAGCTGAGCACAGGAGAGTTACAGATCTATGAGAAAACAGACACTGGAATGCAAGTGTGTAGCCCTGGTGTCCTTTTCCCACCCTGAGCGGTTTGGGTCTGAGCTGTGTCTGTGTTCAGGCTGGAAGGAAACTCCTTGGTGTTCCTTCTGCTGGACTAAATCTACCTGGAAGTAAGTTGTCAGTGTTTAATGGTGAGAATAATTAACCATTAGAACCACTGTCAGAGGGGTATGAGGGAGTTTGCATTCCTGGTACTGGTTTTTAAAGCCCGAGGGGCTGGTTTCCTGCAAGCTCTGATCTCTCTCAGACCGGAATTACTCCAGGACATGCTCCGGCTGGCATTAGCCATGGGATCAGATGAGCTGGTCACAGTGGGCCTCTATTGATCCACTACTGAGGCCAGGGTTGGCTCCTGTCCTCTGACCCCCTCTGCTCACCACAAGCCAGGCTCTCCCTGTATGTTCCATTGCCCTCACCCCACCCCCTCTGGGCCTGGCATCCTGCCCGCAGCCCAGCTGCCCTTGCTCACCCCAGGGGGCCCTGGCATATTGTTCAAATCAACCTCCCTGCCCCATGCAACTTCCATGGGGACTTGTCTCCAGCTACCAGAGCTGACTGGCTTTCCCAGCTAGCAGGGCCCAGGGGAGATGGGCAGGGGGTAGGCGTCGTTTGCTCCAGCTTGGGCTCTCTTTCTTCCGAGGCTGCCACAGCTTTACTCGCTCAGCTAATTCTCCAGCCAGCTGAGGGAGGGTGAGTGGACGCACCAGAAAGAGGGTCTGGGTCAGGGGTGCCCTGTGCAGCAGGGAGCAAAGATCCATCCACTCCGCAGAGCCGGCTTCATCAGAGAGCCTCTACTCCTAATCCGGATCCTGCCACCCCATCAGCACAGAACAACATCTGCAGTGGGTGTCACCGGGCACACCCCGTGCAGACGGCCAAGGTCCCTGTTGTAATTGGCCAGGGCTGTCACCAGTCTGTGGCCCAAGCAACGGGGCCTTTGTCCCCTCCCTTGAGAGACCCTTCTACAGCTGCACCCATCTGGCTGCCAGGAAGGTTCCCCAGCTAGTCCAAGCCTCTGTTCCACGTCTTCACTCTGTCCCAAAGCTCCTCATCCACCCACGCGCCCACCCCACCCCACTGCGCCTCCCTAACTAATTCCTCCTCTTCCTTGGTGTGTTGTATGGGCTGGGTTCTCCTGGCTCTTCGCCCAGCTGTTATCAACCTTTTTTCATTGCGGACCCCTGCAAAATTTCATATGGGGGTGCAGACCCCTTCAGAAATCTTAGCTCTAGGCTGCAGACCTCCAGGGGTCCCCTGCGGGCCACCGATTGAAACCACTGCCTTCACCACCTCACAGCCCAGCGAGGCATGGGTGGCTCGCTTCACCATCACCGTGGCAAACCCCCAAAGGTGCGTGGGCTCCTTGCAGAGCCATCCTGGACCGGTCTCTGGCTGGGTCCGAAAGTTGAGCTGGCTGGCTGGGCAGTTTATGTCCATCAGCGGCAATCTGGTTGTTCCACCAAAGCGTTTGGTGACCACGTGCTTGCAAGCCACGTCTTCCAGCCTGACTAGGTGTCCCTAGCAAGAGAGCTGCCGAACCCTCCCAGCACCGAGGGAGGTGGTTGCAGAGTTTGCTTCAAATAGACTCATTTCTGGTCACCTGACATGGAGAAGTTGCCTCAGATGGTGAGATCTAGGCCATCCGGCCAGTGCTCTTCAGCCTTCCTGGGCGCCTGTGGGTCACTGGTTGGCACTTCTGAGTTCCCCTCGGTCATGCTCTACAGTCCCCCTTTTCCATGTGTTGCTCCTCTCTGAGCTGCCGGGGCTGCCCCAGGAGTGTTGTTAACGCCAGGACCCAAGCTTTTATGGCTTCATCGAACGGCCCGATGACGTTTGACGAGATCACAGATCAGGGCGAGGAAGGGAACTGGGCTCATGTGTCAGATGGAGGGTGTGTCTGCACTACGGGGTGTAGCTAGATCACCATATGGGACCACAGGGTTTGACATCCAAAGAAGGGGGGGACTAGCTAGGGAGTCTGGACCCCAGGAATGTGCCCAAGAGGCCAGAACTAGAGATAGTGTCTGGACCCCCGCAGGAGTCCGTTGGCTTGGAAGCACGTGGGGTCCAATACAGTAGCCTGGAGACCACACAACCAGGGCTGTGCCAGTTGTAGACACGAGCATTGCTGGGCATGCTGCCAGATGGTGGCTGGGAGCTCACATAGACCTTGCATTCCTTCTGGCCAGCAGTTCCCCTTCCCATCACGCTTCAGCTAAGTTATTTCTCTGCCTTCCCCAGTCCCACCAGTCAGTGCTCAGCGTAGCATCGCTGTAATTCTAGCAGCAGGAAACAGCGTTCTTTGTCCCCAGCCATTGGCCGTTCCCCATTCAGCTGCAGCTTCGTCTTTCTGACTGTCTCCTTCCAGATTAAGCCAGAGGGCAGTAGCTCCTAAAAGTGATGTAGTCTACATTGGCCTGGCCTCCACCTCTTTAAACACAGGTAAATCCCACTATGGCTAGACAGCCCTGGATGCAGGGAGAGCTGGTTGGGACCTTTGCCAACGTGGAATGACATCATATTCGGCAGTTTTGTCAAACCCAAGGCAGTTTGCTGGTGGCTCTGTTTTGACAGAGTTTGCACCAGGAAGGATTTTGGGGTTTGCGTCTGTCCCGAGACACCCCACTCAACCCCCTCAGTCGCTTGATCAGACAAGAGCCATTTTGGTACAACGCCATTTCACACCGACGGTTCCCAGGCTTGGTTTCATGGCCAGGCAGTCTCTGTGCAGGAGCTTGGAAGTTGTTGCAAAACTGAATTGTTGTCCTCCAGCCAGTTCTGCACACAGGACTGCAGCCCAGCCCAGCCCAGCCCAGCCCAGCGCACGAGACTGTTTAGCTCAAGCTCAGAATTGCACCAGGCACAGCTCCTGAATAAGGGGGGGTAGCTGACTCGCACGGCTATTCCAGAACAACTCCCTTGGTTGGCACTCAGCTGACGGAGAGCGACTTCACTCCAGAATAATGACTCCACTGGGGGAGCAGAGTAGAGATTCTGGACTGGACTATGCACCCAGGAGCTATTGTCCAACAGCTGTGGCGGGCAGTGCCCACCCTAGCAGACCAGGCCTGACTGGAGAGAAGGTACACATTTTTAAATGGGGAGCGTAATTAACCTTTGGATCCATTTCCCAAGGGGCATGGTGGATTCTCCATCACTGGCAATTTTAAAATCCAGACTGGCTGTTCTAAAATATCTTCTCTGGGGATTATTGGGGGGGGGGGGGCAG